AGGCGGGAATCGAACTCATGCGGAAATGGCTTTAGCTTCTCAGTGCTGTTCTTTAACCCGCTGCGCCACCAGGGAGGGCCAAAATGGCTTTAGCTTCTCAGTGGTGTTCTTTAACCCGCTGTGCCACCAGGGAGGGCCAAAGAGACAGTGTATTTTATAAAACAGTGTACTTGTACTCTTTTTAAAAAAATGCCATGAATAAAAAAGTAAAGAACTGTCTCAGAATAAAGGTGAATACAAAGGTATGACAACTAAATACAATGCTTCATCGTGGATGAAAAAAAAAGTCCTATAAAGAATAGCAGCAAAAAAACCTGGCAACTCTCACCACCTACTATATACTAGGTGACAGCATTAGATCAGTGCTAAATGCTCTTGCATCTGATACAATCACATTATGTTCAATGATCTTGTTCTCAGGCAATATATGTTAACTTCTCTTAGGGTGCCAGCAGAAAAGAAAAGGATAAAATTAGAATACACATATATTATAAAGTGTATAACAGGAAGTAGTAGTGCACTGTGGAAACAAGCAAACAAGAGGAATCTGAAAACTTCCTGTAATAACCTCGCAGTGTCCTGTAGACGTGACATTTTTCAAATTAGAAAAAAAATTTAATCAGCAAACAGAAAAATCAGTTTTCATCAAATCACTTATAACAATGTTAAGAATCTGGCTCATTCTTACCCAGAGTAGATGTTTCCTAAACTTCTACTTTACTTTACTTCACCTACTTTAAGGAGAATGTTTCCAACATCTATATGACTGCTCTAAAAGTACTTCTAAGATCCCATTACAGGATAGGCTGACCTTAGGGTGAAGGTCTCAGGGTTCAATGCTCTATGCCAGGTAAACATGAATTTAAAATCTGAGAGGGAGGCCTCCCTGGTGGTGCAGGGGTTAAACGACACAGTGCTATCAAGCTATCACCCGCCACTGCAATGTGAGTCCAATCCCCAGCCAAGAAGCTAACTCATAAGGCACCACAGACATCTCCTGTCTCACCCACTGCTCCCCTCAGTAGTGTGTTTCAGTAGACCCACCTGTTCTGCTCCCCTCTCTGTGGCTGGTGAGCCCTCTCATCCCTTGTATCTCTGGCCTATACCCCATTATTGTATGTATGAATAAATCTTTAAAAAAATAAAATAGGACCCTCCCTGGTGGCGCAGCGGGTTAAAGCACAGCACTGAGAATCTAAAGCCGCTTCCGCATGAGTTCGATTCCCGCCTGCCCCGGAGGAGACCACATGGCGTGGCAGACCTCTCCTGACCCGCCCGCTGCTCCCCTCAGCAGTGTACTTCGTCCATCTGCCTGTTCTGTTCCCCACTCTGTCTCTGGTGAAGCCTCTCACCGCCCGTGAGCCTCTGGCCTGTACCCCAGTTCTGTATGCACAAATAAATAAATCTTTAAAAAAAAAAAAATAATAAAATAAAATAAAATAAAGCCTGAGAGGGACATCCAAGATCAAGGTAGACTGAACTGATATTATATACAAGAACATAAAAGTGCAGATATTACATGACAATAAAAATGTCTTGATATACAGCAGAACTAGGAAATTAGTTCCCAGCTAATAAACTAGGAAAATGAAGAAATCTTAACTATTGAAAAAAAGTAAGTCAAAGCCACAGATATAAAGGAAAATTCACGCCAGGATGCTGAGCCCCATGTGGAGCAAGATCAAGTTCTTCAAATGAACATATGAGAACAAAAGGGAGTTCAAGGAATAAGACTAGTTTTATGGATGGGTGGTGCTCAGTTTCCTGCATAATATCCTGGAGCCAAGCGCTCCTCAGTCCCAGACCCAAGAGGAATCCTGGAGAGGCAATCAAGAGGTGTGCCATTTCTCACGGCAAGGTTGAGAGTGAGCAAATCACTTTCAAACTTTAAAAAGCAAAATTCGGTAAAGTAAACAGATGAGGATTCCAAATTATACCACCCACATGCATAGGAAGGAAAACAAAGGGGAGTCAGAAACATTAAGGCCACCAGAAACAGCAGAAATTGAGCAGTCTTGGATTAGTAACAGACTGCTGCCAGGCTCATAACTCTTCCTCCCAACTTTTAGCTATATGAATTTATAATTTAAAGATTTATGAGGCTAAACAACAAACAACTCAAGCAAAGAAGGCAGGTGAACTGAAGAGAGACTTCTCCAAGGAGAAGTCATCTACTACATGTAGTAGATGGTCAACATGGACATGAAAAAATGTTTCTTTTTTTTTTTTTTGAAAAAAATGTTTCTTATTACTTAATAAGGAAATGCAAATCAAAACCACAATGAGACATCATCTCAGCCCCCGACACTTCTGACCAGCCCCCCAGTTCTTGTATGCATAAATAAAATAAATCTTGATAAAAATCTCTTTGGTTTTTATAGAAAAATAAAGCAGGTAAGATAAATCTGATCAGGCTGCTGGAAATCACATAGGTGGGCAAACAAGAAACTAAATGTAGATTAGTGTAGAGTAAATGCAGGTAAAGTGTCTAGGTAAAGATTTAGGGAAACAATCTGAATACAGAGAAAGGGAAATAAAGTAAAGGGACTAGAAGCAGAGAGATCAGCTAGAAAGCTATTTCAGTCATCCAGATGGGAGTTAGTGATAAAAACAGATTAAGGTAATAGTCAAAACAAGGAGAAAAAGGTGAATAATTTTTTAAAAAGACATTTATTTATGCATACATAACTGGGGTATATATGCCAATGGTGCAGGGGTGGTAAGAGGATTCACCAGAGACAGAGTTGGGAGCAAAACAGGCAGATTAACACCACTGAGAGGAGGGAAGCAGTGGGCAGTTCAGGAGAGGTCTGTCAAGCCATGTGGGTCAGCTTCCTAGCTGGGGATGGAACTTGTGCTGAGGTAGCTGTGGCTGGCTTCAAAGTGCTGTGCTTTAACTCAATGCACCACCAGGGAGGGCCCAAAAGGCAAATAATTACAACAAAAAAGGACTAAGTTGGTAAGAAAGTTAGATAAATAGGAGCAGGAAAGAAGATGGAAAAATAAAGATTTCTTGTCCCCACCTCCATACAATAAATACATATCAGAAATCCACTGTGTCTAGTTGATTCTTCATCTTTAAATAAAAGTATAGATGTGGAGTATAATTTTGCTTCAATTTTAGTAATCACTCTTGAGGAAAAAATAGAAAAGTACAATAGGAACTGTTAGGTGGAAGTATGGTGGTGGAATATCCAATGATTTGCAATTTTCTTTCTGGTTTTTTTAGATGTATTTATGCATATAGAGCTGCGGTATAGGCCAGAGGTGCAGAGGGGTGAGAGGATTCAGCAGAGACAGAGTGGAGAGCAGAACAAGCAGATAACTGCAATACACTGTGAAGGGAGCAACTGGAGAGACAGGAGAGGTCTGCTGCGCCATGTGGGTCAGCTCCCTGGCCAGCAGGGGATTGAACTTGAGCTGCAGTGGCTTGTGACAGCTTGATAACACTGTCTTTGACCCCTGTGCTACCGGCAGGCCCTATTTGCAATTCTGATTAAAATCTGCTGGTCTTACTATTTTATAAAAAGTTGCCATACTCTTGTTATTTAACATCTAAAGGAGTACAACTTGAAAATGGGGCATGTAACTATATACATTCTACTACATAGATCAGTATATGTGACACTTGTTTCAGCACTTATTCATCAACCACGATGTAATATGGTTAAGACTCCAGATTTTGGGCCCTTCCTTGTGGTGTAACAGGTTAAAGTGCAGCACTGTGAAGTTAGACACAGCCACTTCAGCACGAGTTCGATCCCAGGCCAGGGAGATGACCCATATGGCGCAGCAGATCTCTCCTGTCCAGACCCTGCTCCTCCCCTCAGCAATGTACTTCAGTCTATCTGCCTGTTGTGCTCCTGGCTCTGTCTCTGGTGAATCTTCTCACCCCCCCACACCTCTGGCTTGTACCCGGGCTCTGTTATGCATAAGTAAATAAATCTTTTTTTTAAAAAAAAGACTCCAGATTTCATTCCATAGGCATTTGCTTAGCTGAAAAATGAATCCCAAAAGAAAAAAAGAAAGAAAACCATGTAATTTAGCTAGAACTGTAGTATTTATGCAGGATAAGGAGTAATACTCTTAAAATACACAAAAATAATACACTGGAGGTAATAGAAAGGAAGTATTTCTTATTTTTTTAAATATCTCTCATTGAAACTGCTTACTAAGTTCTACTTACTTATTTAAAATTAAGTATTAATTTTTAAATGAGTATAAGGAAAAAACAGGTACTTTTAAACATTATAAAGGTATGGTTTTTTTTTTTAATTCTCTCTCTGAAAAGTAAAGGGTATGCAGAATTGACTAGACTAGCTGAGAGTGGAAACTGAGATGTTAGTGATAAACCCAAGAAGGTGTTTAGCCACTTACCCAGTGATTTATTTAATGAGAATGGATCGCAGATTTCCAGAGGTCCTTCCACTGCCAGTAAGATAGTCGTGAACCTTGGGTCCCTTTTTTCACTAGTCAACAGTCACCCTCACCTACACGCGGAGTACATATTTGGCACTCAACAAATAAATCTTCATTCACTGAAAATCTACTTAAGTCACATTGGTACCCAACCCGGAGTATGGCCCCACGTTACCTTTATGACAACCCAAAGAACTGAGAAAAGTAGAGATGAAAGCTCTGAGAAGCTCTGTAAAGATGGGAACAAACAGGGACCAAAGGGGTCCACACCACCCCAATTCCCGAGTCGGCTAGTCGGCTTCGACTTCAAAAGGAGGTACCCAACAGGCCGCAGGTCCATAGCTTCCCACCCGGGGGCGCTGAGAAATCGGGGGGTATCCCCCCCAAAGTTAGTACCTGTGAAGCTGCGACACAGAGAGTGACTCGGGACTCTCATTACGGAGGCTGGGGCCTGGGACGGGCCAGCTGCGCCTCCTGCCAGGGGGCTCCGCGCTCCGGGGCTGTGGTGACAGCACTGGTCGGAGATAGATACCTCAAACCTCAGGAGGCTCCTGATTGACAGATCCTGGCGTTTAACTCCCAGGACTGAGCCAATTGTGCCAATCACGTCGATGCGAACTCTTGAAAGCTGCTCACCGTTTCAACGATCACTCCCGTCTTACACGCAGCAGCCGGTAGCTTCCCGGCGCCGCCATCGTTAGTGTTTGTTTTCATCCGCTTGGGTGAAGGCGGAGGGGAGCGGAGGGGGACAAGGGAAATCCAACTGCGCAATACCAGCCGCACTTTCGCCACATCGTGGACTCTTTATTTTGTCTCTTTATCCTTCGAAACTTCAGTTAATTTGACTTTATGTACAGAGAAGCCTTTCTTACCAAGCTTTTAAAGAGTATTAGTGGGGAAACAACTTGACTGGATGGGCCTTTGGAAGAACGAGAACGTTTAGACTCTGTGTGGAATGTGCGCTGGCAAACCTCATGCCACGGTGGCGGCGTCAGTGAGGACGCGGCGCGGGGCGGTCTCTGACGCAAAGGAGGCGGTGTCGCTCCTGGGCTCCGTGGCGGCTCGTGCGCTGCTGCGCGTACCGGAGGAGGGCCCGACCGGCTAGGGGGGTGGGGAATGAGGCTGGTTACCTGGCAGCCAAGGAGAGGTGGGTGACTGGCGTTGGCCGACTTTGAGTGACCGGCTCCGTCAGACGTCCGTATCCATTTCTAAAACGACCTTTTTAATCTCGGCGGAGTCGCCTCCTAACAGTAGCTCTCTGTCTCTTCTTTCGTGCCCGCTTTCCAGCCTGCCACGTCTGGGCTTCACGACTTCCCAGCCCTCAGCCTCACGTTTTGGATTTCTATGTCTATGAGAACACATAATCTATGATCTTTAGGCTCTTTTTCTTTTATTCCCTCTCCCTTGTTAGACGGACTTAAACACAACTCCCCTCCCCCCCCCATACTTATATCCGTATTTATCAGGTGGACCTAGAAAGATCTAGGTGATAAGATTCGCTTTGACTCATCACTTCCCCAGGTATTTATGACCTATCAGCTGCTTCGTGACCTGTGTCGTTAAAAGCAGATCTCTTTTACCTTGTGCATAGTTTTTTCCATTGCCTCATTAATGTTTGGCTGTTGCCAGTTCAAATGGCAGGCACTGAGCGAGACGTTCAACTTCTGTTATCCTTCAAACCCAAGCAAGCCTGTTGTACAGCCAAGAGTTAGACAAAAGCCAAGTTACAGGTATACCTTTTGCTTGAACAAAATGGAAATTTGAGGAAAAGAGTTGTAACCTTTGAGTCACTTTAAAGTCTTTGCTACGTTTCTAATTTTTTTCTTTTAACCTTTGCAGAGAGAAGATTATAAATGCCAGAGCCAGTTAACTGATGGTTAGCTGTTGTTGAATTCTGACACTTCCTTAAATACCTTCTTGCACCAGCATCTTCACTGGGAGGAATTCAGAAAAAGTAGCAAGAGGGAAGCAGAGACAACACTTCCATGTACCATGGCTATACCAATAACAGTGCTTGACTGTGACCTCTTGCTGTATGGCCGAGGTCACCGGACATTGGATCGCTTTAAGCTGGATGATGTGACCGATGAATACTTGATGTCAGTGTATGGATTTCCTCGACAGTTCATTTATTACTTGGTGGAGCTCTTGGGAGCAAGTCTTTCTAGACCTACTCAGAGATCCAGGGCTATTAGCCCAGAGACACAGATTCTTGCAGCATTGGGCTTCTATACCTCGGGTTCCTTTCAGACTCGGATGGGAGATGCTATTGGAATCAGTCAGGCCTCTATGAGTCGTTGTGTTGCCAATGTGACGGAAGCCCTTGTGGAAAGAGCCTCCCAGTTCATTCACTTTCCAGCTGATGAAACATCCATACAGGCTCTGAAGGATGAATTTTATGGGCTGGCAGGAATGCCTGGGGTGATAGGAGTGATTGACTGTATCCATGTGGCAATCAAGGCACCAAATGCTGAAGACCTCTCCTATGTAAATCGTAAAGGTCTGCATTCATTAAACTGCCTAATGGTGTGTGACATCAGAGGGGCACTAATGACCGTGGAGACCAGCTGGCCAGGCAGCCTGCAGGACTGTGCTGTGCTGCAGCAGTCCTCTCTCAGTACTCAGTTTGAAGCTGGAATGCACAAAGAGAGCTGGCTGCTTGGTAAGTTTGCAGTGTAAAAACATCTTTGTAGCCACAGATAAATTCTTTAGCAGAATAGAATAAAAAAGGAGAGTCTGTAAATCTGACTTAATCCTTTCCCTTTCACAGACTTCAGGTGGAAACCTTCAGAACTTAAATTTCTAAAAGTCATTTGAAAAACATGAATGGGAATGTAGACTTCGTATTTGACCTAGATTCCAAGATGTGTAAATGAGAACCCATTTTGTTGCTTACCTGATGAGAGTCATGCTTAAAAATAAATAATTAATTAAAACCAAAAAACCACTAAGCTGCCAGGTTCAAGGTTTGTATTATTGTTAACTAATCCTATTCCTCACAGCTTACTTTGCACTGCTCAGTGCCGAGTAATCCAACTCAGATCACTAAGCCAGGCTTTCCACTGAAGTGAGATGCATGAACAAAGGGAGCTGTTACAGTCTTCGCTTTTCCACTACTAAAAATTTTTCTTAGTGTTCCATAGTCATCAATACATAAAACAAGGACCTCCCTGGTAGCTCTGGGGTTAAGTGTCAGTGCTCTCCAGCTATTGCCAGCTACTGCAACATGATTTCCATCACCAGCCAGGGAGCTGACCCACATGGCCCAGCAGACCTCTCCTGGCCCGCCCGCTGCTCCCCTCAGCAGTGTACTTCATCAATCTGCCTGTTCTGCTCCCCACTCTGTCTCTGGTGAAGCCTCTCACTACCCCTCCACCTATGGCTATTTCCCAGTTCCTTGTGCATAAATAAATAAATCTTTAAAAAAAATTATATAGCTTTCAGGTATACATTATAAATCATCATCCATAATAGTACATTATGTTCACCACCAAAAGTTTGTTTTTATCCTTCAACTTCCATTTGCCCCTATGTAGTTCTTATAGGAACTCACTTCACAGATCTGTCAGTGGAAAGCCTGACTCAGATATCAAAGTTGGATCACTCAGCACTGAGTAGTGCAAAGTGAGCTGTGAGGAATACGGTTAGTTAACAATAATACAACCCATGAATGTAGCAGCTAAGGGGTTTTGGGTTTTATTTAATTTATTTAGTTATTTTTAAGTACTCCTCTTATATAAGCAACAGGACAGGGGTTCTCATTTATACATCATATTATATGACAGATGAAAAGATACATTAAGAAGTCCTAATGTGGGCTGTATGAAAATGGAGTTTAGAAGTTCAGTGTATGCATAGATTGGGATTAAGATGACGGCCCTATAGGTAAAAAGAAACAATTCTGCATTGAAAACAACATATAGAAACTTAATAAGTTCCAAGATGCTACACGTGGCATTCTGGAGGTGTTAAATCAAGCAGTATGACAGCAGTTTCCTCTCACTAGTCAGTACATTAAAGAGAAATAATTCCTGAGCATCCATTACATGTTAAACACTGAGTATGTGCAAGGCAGGTGTGATTAGTAGACTTGAATGAGGTCTTCCAATTCTTTTTTTCTTCAAAGATTTATTTATTTATTTAAACATGAGGGAAGAGGGGATGAGAGTGTTGCATCAGCAACACCACAGTAAGTGATAAAAGAAACAAGAGTCATGGAGCAAGGCTGTAAGATGCAGGATGTTGCTCCATGCTGGATCCTGGCCTTTTTATTGACAGAGAAGGGTGGGTCTGAACACTGGATCTTGGATTTTAGGGAGGGTGAGTATACACCCTTTTCCCACCCCTCCACCCATGGCTCAGATCTTACTAAAGAAGCATTCCACTGATCAGTCCCTGGAGCAAGAAGCACATCAATATTTCTCCAGGGCCATCAGCATCCTGCTATTGTCTAACTTGAAAGGAGCCTTGTATGCTATGCCCACATGAGAGGATTCACCAGAGACAGTGGGGAGCAGAACAGGCAGATCGATGAAGTACACTGCTGAGGGGAGCAGCAGGCGGGCCAGGAGAGGTCTGCTGTGCCATGTGGGTCAGCTCCCTGGCTGGGGATCAAACTCAGGCCATAGAGGTGATAGTGTTGAGACTTACCCCTAGGACACTAGGGAGCCATAAAGTAACTTTTTAAGTTATTTACAGAGCATAGTTGAAAATAAGTAAAAACTCGACAGATTTTCATATACTTACCTGATCTCCCTACAGGGTGGGTGGAAGTAGTTGGGGTATATGAATATTGAAGCTACATTTAACAAATACTTACTAAGACCAGTTTTGGGGTACTGGGCCACATGCTAGGCACTAATGATGGTGGGGATGTATAACCATGGAAATCATAATGTGGAAATTGATTTCCTTAGTATTATCAGTTCTTGAAAATACCCTTTAGGAAAATTTCCAGAAATTCTAGCAGGAAAACTAGTTTAAAGATCCCAGAACTAGAATAGTGTTTCACAGTTTTTCAGATCAAAGGACAATCAGGGGAATTTATTTTAAATATACAAACTTCAGAAATGAGAAAAAATCTATAGACATCTGTTTTTGACAGGTACCCTAAATGATTCATACAAATAAGTAAGTTTGGAAAACACTGTTCTTTAAAGGATGTGTGGACCTCAGGGTAATTTAGGGGAAGGTTGGCAGAATTACGTGGAAGGACAAAATATGTTTTAAAAAATGGCTTGGGCCCTCCCTGGTGGCACAATGAGTTAGGATGCAGCACTGCAAGCAGCCATGGCCACTTCAGTGCAAGTCTGATCCCGGCTGTGAGCATGTGCGTAGAGGAGAGGCAGACCACTGCTGACCCGCTGGCTGCTCCCTCAGCAATGCGCTTCCTCAGTCTGCCTGTTCTGCTCCCCTCTCTGTCTCTGGTGAATTCTCTCACCGCCCCTGCACCTCTGTCCTGTACCCAGTTCTGTATGCATAAATAAATAAATTTTTAAAAAAAGTTTAAAAAAATTTGTAGACTAGTTCTAAATTTCCCAAAGCTGGAACAGACTGTGTTCCCCGTGCCTGTTTTTCTTTTCTTAGCAGCTCCTCCTTGGGCTCATGTCTTCACTCTCACCTGGCCCTTCAGTGTGCATTGCTTCACTCCCTGTCTCTCAGTATACTTGCTCCTGCAAACATTTCAGCCAAGTTCTTATTTCTTCAACTCTAACTA